TGCAAAAGGTAGCAAAAGCTCGTGCAAATTTTAGCAAACGCAACGTGCTGGCTTTGATGCAAACATTAGCAACAGCTCAGTGCAAATATTGGCAGCTTAGCAGACGCATGACAAAAACAGCAAAAACTTGGGACGGGAGCTAAGTAAATGCAGTATGCTTCGCTGCACAAGCCGGCAAGTGCAGGGACACGCTTTTAACAGTTGCGGCGGCCCCAGATCAAGGTCCAACGAAACTGAGGCACACTGCTGCCGCACGGACGGGGCCTCCTGAGTAAGATGTGCAGAAAGACTGGAACTCGAAGGGTCGCGGCCGGTAGGAGGGTTTGCCGGCTGAAACCTCAGAAACCGCGGACGACGACTGTAGGGGGCAGCTCGACAAAAAAAGCCGGAGAGTCCGAAAACAGCGCCAGCCAGTGCAAAGAGAACGTCACATTTTTTATACACGTGCACACGTGCACATAGATATGCAAAATAAATAATATTTCTTTCTATCTCTCTCACACTCTCTTCTTTGTCGCTTGTTGTTAACTCATCTTTTAAGTGAGATCCGCCATTCGCTAGAAGTCCCGATATATGGATGCTCCAATGTTTTTTTACAGTTCTACTTGCCCATTGGTTGCCCTTCTCAAGCTATTTCCCAATTTAGGTTCCGCTTCCAGAAAACGTTAAACGAACCGCAACAGTTTGGCTCCTCCCGGGGGGAAAAGATGGTGAGAATCCGGCTGGCGTCGGCAAGCCGGTGGACCCGCAGTAGAAGCTTCCGTCTCGGGTGCTGAGCTCCGACATCCTTAAGTAGTCCGATGCGGAAGCCACAGTGGTTTGGATTCGGGCCGTAAAGTTTGAGCGTAAAGCCAAGAAACTGACAAGAACACCTCAAGGCCTCGAAGGCTGCTGAGGTCTGCCGCTCCAGCGTCGCAGAGCCTGCCGAGGTTGCGGAGGCCGTCATGCATGAGGAGCCACGGCAGCGTCAAGAGCGCAAAGAGGTCCGCTACTGTGCTGGCCGGCCACAAAACTGGCTCTCCAATGCGCACAGTAGAAGAAGTGCAGAAACACAAAGCGGATGCTGCCGATAACATCTGTCTCCCAAAGTTCGGGCCCGGGTCCCGGGATCTCATTCGGTTTGATCTCGGTTGCGCAAAAGGTGCTAAAGGCTGTGTCTCTGGTCATGCTCTTTCTTCAGCTGGCTGATGCATTGTCCAATCGGCAGTACAATTCGTTTGATCCGAGTCTTAGGATGCGCTTCAACTTCAGCAAATACAAGTCTGTAATTCTGAAAGATCTTATGGACGCTGGTGTTTCATTGTATAGTGACATAAAGAAGTATAAAGAGAAACTGCTGGAAAAGCAAGCTGCCAAGAAAGGTGAAAGACTGCGTGACCTGGATCCGTGGGCATAGCCGTGCTCCTGTCAGCGTTGCAAGGGCGATCAGTCGTTGCGGTTCGCAACGTGTTGCAGTTTCTTATTTCTTCTTTGTAATAAATTTGCAACCTTATTGGATTGCCAAATTTGCCAAGCACAGATGCTCCTTTAATAGATTGAATCTTTCCAATACACAGAATTAATTTGTGGGAAGCTTGCCTTCCCGGGTGGGCTTGGAGGGTTGGCATGCTGGAAATGACTTGTCCATCAAAGTGTGATTTATTTTGCAGGCCACTTTTTCTGTATTTCAGCGAGATGTTCCTTTTATCCTTTTGGGCATCGTCTGGGCCTCAGTAACTAGAATGAGGTGTGGTGGGAATTATAAGCCTAAGCCCTAAACCCTAAACCTTAAGCCTATATGTACTATCGTTATAAATAACTAGAATAAGGTTTGGGTATTTTAAGCCCTAAACCTTAAACCCTAAACCTTAAACCCCAAACCCAAAGCCCTAAACTCCTAAGCCCGGAACCCTAAACCTTTATCCCTAAACCCTAAACCCATATGTACTATCGCTACAGGGTGAGTTCTGAGGGTCCGCACGTGGCCCCACAGCAACAGGGCAGGCGCTGCAAGGAGGGCCCTCATCTCATCTCGGAGACTCAGATAGACTCCCTGAAATAGGGTTTTACGGTTTAGGGTTTAAGGGTTTGAGGGTTTGAGGGTTTGAAGGTTTAGGGTTTAGGGTTTAGGGTTTAGGGTTTAGGGTTTGGGTTTAGGGTTTAGGGTTTAGGGGTTGGGGTCGGGTTTCATATAAGGGCCTACTTACCACTATTTTGGGGGGTTCCTTAATAGAATTAGAGTTAGTATGCCCCAAAGCCCTTATTCTAATTATGAAGGCCCCTGTATTCGGGTTTAGGGGTTTAGGGTTTAGGGGTTCAGGTTTTAGGGCTTGGGGTTTGGGGTTTAGGGCTTGCTAGGCTTGCAACGCTTGAAAATTGGGAACGAAGTTTGGGATCCACCTAGGAACTAGTGAAGCCTTGGTTTGACGGTTCATGTAGGGGCCTTAAGAATTATAATAGGGTTTTGGGGGAAATTATACAATAACTATAATAAGGAAACCCTTAAAATAGTATGGGTAATTATTTAGGCCCCTAAATAAGTGATGTAGGCTCAGGAAGTCTTGTACTTGGCTCGGATTTTATAATCTCGCCGACAAGTCACGTCGGGCAGGGTGATAGCAGATTATGGTTTCGGGGTTTAGGGTGCGGTGATCGTACCACCACAGTCTACAGCAAACGAACATGCTTTTCGGGCAGCACTGAAGGGCATGTGGCGGAGCTTGTTCCGGTTTGCATGTTCGTGTCTGCGGGTCTCTGACGCTTCGATCAAAAGGCACGGAAGGCGTAGAACAAAAGATACAACAGCCAGCAGCAGCCGCGAGCATGAATCTGTGGTCAGTTCCCATCATCTTTGGCACACAAGCCTTCCGACTACTGCCTTGCCTCGTGTCGACAGACTGACCCAGCGCTGAGCAATGACGCAAGACATATATTTACACGCTCTTCCATACAGCACTGGACGTACTACTGCTCGCCAGGTATTCGGAGACCGGGGAGGGAGAGCAGAGAGAGATTGCATAGAGTAGCGGGTTAGAAAGGGTGAGTTGAGGTACAAAGCACAGAAAGGACGATGGAGGCAAAGCCAACAGCGTATTAACTGCACATCTCGGACTGTCCTACCAGTACAATGGCCGGAGCTTTCGACCACTGAGCATGGTGGACTCCGCGGAATCCGGACGGGATCTATAGAAATCCATCGTGCAGCGTGGGCGAAGCTGCGAACTGATAACAACTGCACTTTGTGCTTACTAACCCATAGGCCTCATAGTAGTTCCTTTTCGGGGTTCATATTGAGAATCAATCCCAATCCTACAAGGTAATCCCAAAAAAGGAACTACTATGGGGCCTATGGGTAGCTTATCTAAACCCCGAGGCAGGTTGGAGCCGGATTTCCGGGAACCCTAAACCCGCACACTTCTCTGGGATGGAAGTTTTAGGGTTTAGGCTTAGGGTTTAGGGTTTAGGGTTTAGGGGACCGAAACGGCCGCTTCGGATCCCTCCAGGCCGCGGTGGAGGAATGAGCATGGGAGCACAAGCCTCAACCTTAATTCAGCGGCCTGCATTGTTGGGTTGAGGGTTTAGGGTTCAGGGTTTATAGGGGGTTTAGGGTTTAGGAGTGTCTTGACTATAACTCTATCAGGGGCTAGAAGGGAATACTGTCACTACTTGTCCCGACATCTGCGTTGAGGGTTCCCAGAGGCCTGACCCCTAAACCCCCCTAAATCCCCCAAAGCCCTGCGCAAGTCCGATTTTTGCATGAAGCTTTCAAGCCGAGCAGGTCAAGGCATTTCGAGGCACATGGAGTGGCCGTTTGCAGACGCCTTGTCGGAAGGAGGTTTAGGGTTTAGGGTCTAGGAGAGGGCCGAAAAACGAACCGACGACAACAACAACAACAACCACAACCACATTCACAACCACAACCACAACAACAACAACAAAAAAAAAAAACAGCAGCGGCGGCGGCGGCAGCAGCAGCAACAGCAACGACAACGACAACAGCAACGACAACAACAACCACGACATCGACAACGACAACAACAACAACAACAACAACAACAACAACAACAACAACAGCGATAATAAGAACGATAATAACAGTAGTAATAAGACTGACAATATTCATAACAATGACAGTAGGTAATAAGTTCTATGCCAG